AATGATTAAAAATAATTAAACTATGATTCGGTTATTTGTGGCCATGATTGTTAATTGTAATTCGTTATTTTGAGTCAATATTAAAGGTGGATTACAACTCCATTATCTTTATCTAATTTTTTGTTTCAATTCGATGCAAAATTGTGATCCCTAAATTGGGATTTAAAATTTTTTTTAATCTTTTTTTCAACTTCTTGCATTTTGGGAATCTTTTATATATTTATTGAAGAATTGAAGATCGAACTCAATCAAGACAAAACATAATAGGGAAAAAAATTGGGTCGAATGATGGGCCGTGAGCTGTTCAGGTCCAAGTATGGTGTTGGATTCCCGTGGCTTGGCGACAAATTTTCTTTGCATTCATTAATTTTCTTCAAAATTTACTAAAAATGTGATTTTTTTTAATTTAAACCAAACTCAAACTGAGTATGATTATTTTATTTTGGTTTACTTTGGCCAAACATGGAAAGTTGGTAAGTGAGAAATGTGTACACAATTCAGGGGCCAAAATGAAATATATGTGCTTTTAGAGACCAAAATTCAAATATACCACGACCCCTTGATATAAATTGCTTAGAGGGATGTCAAAAAAATTCATTCAACTTATACTCACAGGACCTTGCCCCCAACGAGACAGCGATTATACGCTTTACCAGGTAAACAGGATGAGACGATGGTCATTGCTCGAAAAGGATACGAGGCGAGTACAAGAAACATAGCTTCCACCTTGCTACCCATTCGTTTAAACTTAATTCAAATTTAAACTTTTTATCAACAAAAATAAAATATATATCATCATTTTTAAAAAAGAATACAAGTTGTTCTTAACAAATTGAAAAAAAAAAAGTAATAATGAAAGATATATAAAAATAAAAATAAAGTAAATAAAAAGAAAAATAAACGGGACGAGGCCAAGAACTATCCCGCCCTACCTTGATCCTGCTCTAACATGGTATTTGACGAATAAGGTAAAATGTAATGATTCCAAAATAGCCTTTGACGAATAAGGTATTTGGCCATACTGCCCCATTGCCAGAGGAAATATATGCAGATAGCCTAAATAAAATGTAATGATTCCAAAATAGCCTTTGACTATTCTAGATAAATGGAACTACCTAAAATACCCCAAGTATGATAATTATATCCAAGTCATCATAATATGAAAAGAATACAATCAAGACCTAAAGAATTATTATAGCTATGACTAATAAAACTTATAAAAAATCCAGATCTAAAAGAGGACCATATAAAATTAAAAGAATTATGAAAAATTTAAAAGATGATAGAAAATTCATTTGAAAATGAATTCGATATGATATGATATCAAGAACAATTAAATGCATCCCAAAAAATATTAAAATGCTTCAAGGAAAACATGATAGAAAATTTTGCTA